CCGGCGTACTGTGCTGATCCGATGGCAGGAGCCAGGTACTTATCCTGGTCTCCCATGGGGTGCAGGGCCCAAGTACTTGGGCCATCCTCCACTGCACTCCCTGGCCACAGCAGAGAGATGGCCTGGAAGTGGGGCAACTGGGACAGAATCCGGCGCCCCGACCAGGACTAGAACCCAGTGTGCTGGCGCCGCAAGGCGGAGGCTTATCCTAGTGAGCCGTGGCGCCGGCAAGTTTTAAATTCTTAACTTTGGCTTGGCCCAGCACTGGCTGTCACAGCTATTTGGGGAGTAAATCAGTGAGTGGGAGATCTCTCTCTGTGTCTCCCCCTCTCTGTCACTCTGCCTTTCAAACAGATAAATAAATAAATATTTAAAAATAACTATCTCATTGGAAATTATATGTGTTATAGTAGTTAAAAATTGGCTTGTGAGTTCAGCAGATATTTTTCTCAATTTAATGAGGACACAGAAGATATAAACTGGACTTTCCATCTGGCCATCCATATTCCAAGCAGTCATGTCTCTTCCATGTCATGTCCTAGTTCCAGTCTTAGAATAATTTCTACCATTCCTCCGACTTTTTTTTTTTTTTTTTACTTTTTTATTTATTTGAAAGATAGAGTTACAGAGAGAGGTAGAGGCAAAGAGAGAGGTCTTCCATCTGCTGGTTCACTCCCCAATAGGCCGCAACAGCCGGAGCTGCGCCAATCCGAAGGCAGGAACCAGGAGCTTGTTCTGGGTCTCCGACATGGGTGCAGGGGCCCAAGGACTTGGGCCATCTTCTTCTGCTGTCCCAGGCCATAGCAGAGAGCTGGATTGGAAGAGGAGAAGCCGGAACTAGAACCGGCGCACATACGGGATGCGGCGCTTCAGGCCAGGGCTTTAACCCACTGCACCACAATGTCGGCCCCGTTCCTCCGGCTTTCTAGTGGGATAGTAAGAACTGTCCAAGATTGGATCAGGTGAGCACATGCTCTAATTCAAACATTTTGTCAAGAAATAACCAATAGTTCAACAACTTTAATGTTACTAAAAAATTTCAAAGAAGGATTTCACTTATCAGGAATAGCAACATTTTTAAGAATCTATTTCCTGGGGCCAGCACTTTGGTGTAGTGGGTAAAGCAGCCGCCTGCAGTGCCGGCATCCCATATGGGCACCGGTTCATGACCTGGCTGCTCCTCTTCTGATCCAGCTTTCTGCTTTGGTCTGGGAAAGCAGTAGAAGATGGCCCAAGGCCTTGGGCCCCTGCACCTGTGTAGGAGATCCAGAAGAAGCTCCTGGCTCCTGGCTTTGGATAGGTACAGCTCCGGCAGGTGCAGCCATCTGGGGAGTGAACCAGCGGATGGAAGACCTCTCTCTCTCTGCCTTTCCTTCTGTGTGTAACTCCGACTTTCAAATAAAAATAAAATAAATCTTTAAAGCAAGAGAATCTATTCCCATTTTTTGGTGTGTATCTTGCAAGGTACCACCTCGCTAGAGAGAACCTCCAGTTCTCTGTGAACCATTTCAACCTTTTCCGAGAAGCATTTCCTGCTGCCTTGATAGCATAGACCCTCATATGCTCCCTCTACCCTCCCCTTTTATCTCAACTCTTTTTTTTTATTTGACAGATAGAGTTATAGACAGTGAGAGAGAGACAGAAAGAAAGGTTTTCCTTCTGTTGGTTCACTGCCCAAATGGCCACCATGGCCGGTGCTGCGCTGATCTGAAGCCAGGAGCCAGGTGCTTCTCCTGGTCTCCCATGTGGGTGCAGGAGCCCAAGCACTTGAGCCATCCTCCACTGCCCTCCTAGGCCACAGCAGAGAGCTGGACTGGAAGAGGGGCAACCGGGACAAGAACTGGGCGCCCATATGGAATGCCGGCACCGCAGGTGGATGATTAACCAAGCGAGCCACGGCGCCGGCCCCGGTCTCTCAACCCTTTATCCTGTGGATAAGCTAAGCCTCCCTGGCTTGCTTCCTTTGAACATCCTCTTAGTCACATCCTGCCACAGGAGCAATAGGATGAGAAGAGATGCAGTGAGAGAACTTCCTTCTTTCCTAACAAAGGAGGGACGGGGGCACAGGACTCCCAACGTGGATTATTTGATATCTTTTATTTCGTTATATTTATTCTGAAAATGATTTGAACCAAAATTAAAGCACAAGATATTGCCCCCCCCCCCTTTTTTTTGAGAATATGCCTCCAGACCTGGTTTGAACTGTTAGGGAGCTCAGAGTTAGATTCACAGCTCTGCTGGACTCTGCAGTTTTTCTGTTCATTCCGTGTGTCTGTGTTTGTTTATTTCAAAGTAATTAATTTTGATGCCATTTAAGGGCTTTTTTATACATGTAGTTTCAGATAACAGCTTCATCAAAATATAATTCACATATGAAACATTTTAAAAATGATTTATTTATTTGAAAGAGTTGCAAAGAGAGAGGGACACACAGAGAAAGACAGATCTTCCATCCACTGTTTCATTCCCCAAATGGCCAAAATGGCTGGGCCGGGGCCAGGCTGAAGCCAGGAGCCATAAACTCCATCCAGGCCTGCCACGTGGGTGGCAGGGCTATGTTCCACTGCCTCCGAGGCACATTAGCAGGTAGCTGGATTGGAAATGGAGCACAGAGACTCCAAACAGCACTCATGAAGGATCCTGGCATCACAGGAGGCAGCTTAGCCACTGCGCCACAACGCCAGCTGCCATTTGTCTTCTAAAGTGTAAGATTCAGTGGTTTTTAGTTTATTCACAGAATTGTGCAAACACCACCACTATCTAATTTCTGGACATTTCATCACCTGTAAAAGAAATGCCCTGCCTATAACTAGTTACTCTGCATTCTGTCCCTTCACCCACTCACTCCCCATCAGTCCCTGGTTTTCTCCAAGTGCTTTATGTCAATGAAATAATGCAATATGTGGGGGTGGCTATTGTGGTGAGGCAGTCAGGAGCCACCTGGACACTGCATCTCATATCAGAGTCCCACCTTTGCTTCCAAACCAGCTTCCTGTTAATGTGCACCCTAGCAGGCATTAGATGATGGCTCAAGTACTTGGGTTCTTGCCACCATTGTGAGCCACTGGATTGAATTTTTGGCTCCTTGCTTTGGTCTGGCCCAATTTTGGTTATTGTGGGTATTTGGGGAATAAATGAATGACATAAGTGACATAAGTCTGTCTGTTTCTCTCTCTCTCTCTCTCTCTCTCTCTCTCCTTTCCCTTAGCATAATGTTTTCAAGGCCCATCCATGCATCATGTCATGCTACTATATTTCATTATATTGCTGAATGATATTCTATTGTGTGGCTATATGACTTTTTTTAAAAAAAGATTTATTTATTTTATTTGAAAGGCAGAGTTAGAGAGGAAGAGGCAGAGAGAGAGAGAGGGGTCTTCCATCTGCTGGTTTACTCCCCAAATGGCTGCAATGGCCAGAGATGAGCAGATCTGAAGCAGGGAACTAGAGCTTCTTCTGGGTCTCCCATGTGGGTGCAGGATGCCTGAGGACTTGGGCCATCTTCTATTGCTTTCCCAGGCCATAGCAGAGAGCTGGATCAGAAGAAGAGCAGCCGGGTCTTGAACCGGCACCCATATGGGATGCCGGCACTGCAGGCAGCAGCTTCACCCGCTACACCACAGTGCCAGCCCCTATATGACATTTTGTTTTTCCATTCATCCGATGGACATTTAGATTCTTCTTCTTCTTAGAAATTGTGAATATTGCTTCTTTGGGCATTTACATAAATTTTCAATTCTCTTGGATATACCCCTAGGAGTAGAATTACTGAGTCATGTGGTAACTCTATGTTTAACATTTTGAAAACTGGTCAACTATTTTTCATAGTAGCTATATCATTTTATATTCTTTGAAATAGTGTGTAAAAATTCCAGTTTCTCCACATCCTTGTAAACACTGTTATTGTCTGTCTGTATTTTAGCCATCCTTGTGGATGTTAAGTGGTTATTTTTAGTGATCATTAAAAATTTTTTGTGTGTCTCTGATAAACTGTTACAAATTCTTTTTATAATGGTAAAATAAACATAACCTAAAATTTGCCATTTTATCCATTATCAGGTGTGAAATTCAGTGGCATTTTTGATATTTACACTTTGGTGCAGCCATTACTATCATCCATCTCCGGAGTATTTCCATCTTCCCACCAACAGCTCCCCCATTCTCTCTCTCTGTCTCTCTGTCTCCCCCCACCCCCGGGTTAGTATCCTTTCTAGCTACCTCACAGAAGAGCAGCCATGTAATACTTTTCCTTTTGTGTTGATTCATTCCACTTAGCATAGTGTTTTCAAGGCCTATGCACATTGTAGCATGTGTCAGAATACCATTCCTTCTTTACTGAGGTTCTTTTTGTCACCAGCTCTGGTTTGATTTTGAACAATGAGCTAATAGGAAATGTGTGCCTCACACTCCAGGACACTCTGGATTTTTTCTTGAGGACCCCAGGACAGCAATTTGGAGGGAGGAGGGACCCTGCTCCTTTGTTTGCAGGGGAAGGCAGTCGCCACATGCCACCTCCCACCTCCCATACTCATTGATGAAATTAGAAGATTCTTCTGGAAAATCACCGATCTAAATTATCCTCTCAGCCATGAAGAAACCTCATCAAGGGCATTTTAGATGGGATGCAATTATAAGTGAAAGTGTTTTACTTTTCCTAATGTTTGTGTATAGGAGATGACCATTGTTTGGAGCACAAAGGACAAGTTGCCTGAGGACTTTATTTTAATATCTAACCCCAGAATCATGCTGTCTCCAATTTTATCTCATTGACTTTCCCAGTGAAGACATTCTATATGTTGTTTATAAACTGTGGCTGTCTCAAGATATGTTGATCCAGAACATAATGGCTAGCAAAATCTATTGAGCTGTTTGGGATGAATTCCATTCTTTATTCATAAAACAGTTTTTAAGTGAATTCCATTGACTTCTGGGTTGTCTTGCTTATATGTTTTTTCTAAATAAATACAATAGAAATGGTCAATATTCTCTTGATTTCTTAGATTAAAACTTTGGAGCAGACCAAAGCCCTTGAAGACCTAACTAAATCCAGAGACAAGCTGGAGAAGATGAAGGAGAAAGTTGAGAAGAAGCTGATATCTGTCAAGTCAGAACTGGATACCACTGAGCATGATGCCAAGGAGGATAAAGAAAGGGCCAGAAACATGATAGAAGTGGTGACAAGTGAAATGAAGACACTAAAAAAATCTCTGGAAGAAGCAGAAAAGAGAGAAAAGCAGGTGGGTAGGAAGCTGGTGGTAAAACCTTGTTTAGGAAATGACAACATAATCCCAAACTTGATCACTATTCACCATTCCTTTTAGTTTTGAAAATCTAGACTGCTTCGTGAATGTGGGTGTCATCCTTGCCCAGGGGCCATGCTCATCTCTGTATCCTTCCAAATTTTGTATATGGGCTGCCAAAGAGGGCATTATTCATTAATTTCTTCAAAACCAGCTTCCATTTCATTTCAACACATCTGCCTTCCCTCCCAGCATGTTTTTGGCATTCAAATAACCATTATGATTTACCCTGTGAAGAAAAATAACTGAACATTTTCATGACATGGCTTGTAAGGGAGTAAAAAGAAGTAAAGTTATCAAAGCAGTGGAAAGCTGGTGAGAAACCAAGTTCTGTTCGTGGTCAGGTTTTTATTGTGTTTGGTGCCTCTGAAGTTTGCATCATCCTGGATTTTTTAACGTTAACCAAGGCTTGGACCTCAGGTGAGAAGCCTTATCTGTAGTGGAGATCGGGGCAGGAAACAGCCCTATGTCTCAAACAGTGGCACTCAGACTTGATGGTCGACCAAGCACAGATGTTAGCCATAAAAAAGGACTCATTGGCTGGCTGGTTGCGCCTTTTATCTGGCGACCACATCAGGAGGTCAAGCATAAAGAAACATGTCCGGGGCAGCTTGACCCCCATTGCCTTGGCTTTCATGTCACTCTTTTTCTGAAGCTCAAAGGGGCAGAGAGTAGACTCTGGTCCTAGGGTATTTTTCTTTCTTTCTTTCTGGCTGCCTCTGCTTTGGCTCATGTGTCAGGCAGAGTTGGGAAAAGTCAAACTGAGAGTGAGTGTTCTAAGGATGAAACCTCCTAGGAATGAAGAGCTTTGGCCACCTTTGAAAGAGTGGTAAAGCTGGAGGGAGACTTGGGAGTTGTCTTGGTCCCCTAAGGCTGCTATCATAGATCAAGTAGCTTCTAAACAACAGACACATATTTCTTACAGTTATGCAGGCTGGTAAGTTCAAGATCAAGGTGCGTTCAGATTCAGCCTCTGGTTCATAGGTGGTGCCTTCTCACTGTGTCGTCACCTGGTGGGAGGGGCAAGGAAGCTCTCTGAGGCCTCTTTCGCAAAGGCTCCCATCCCATCATGGAGACTCCAGTCATGCTAGCATCATGGAGACCAAATTACCTCCCAAGCCCCTCCTCCTAATCTGTCCCATTAATGATTATGTTTCAACATGTGTGAATTTGGGAGGGGGACACGAGTGTTTAGACCATAGTAGGTAAAGAGAATATTACAATTCTCCAACTGGACTCTGCATGGGAAGTAGGCTGGGAAGCAACTGGAATGGGAATGTTGGGAAGGCAGTTCTTGTAGGTGTAACTGCATCTAGGCTGCATCACATCTTTTCCAAAATGGAAGGTACCTTATTGAGGTATTGCTCAGACATCCCTGATGTGCCAGCTTCTGCATTGGCCTAGAACCACAGAGAGAAGCCTACAAGAATTCAAAGAGCTATGAGACATAGTTTTTTTTTTAAAGGTTTACTTTGTAATTTATTTGAAAGGAAGAGTGGCAGAGAGAAAGCAAGAGATAGAAAGAGAAAGAGATCTTTCACCATTGGTTCACTCACCAAATAGCTGCAACATCTGGGGCTGGCCAGGTTGAAGCTGGGAGCTTGGTACTCCATCCAGGTCTCTCATGTGGGTGGCCAGGGTCTAAGTTTTTGGACCATCTTCCATTGGTTTCCCAGGTGCATTAGTAGGGACCTGGATCAGAATCAGAGAATCTGGGACTCCAACTGGTGCTGTGATATGGGGTGCCTATGTTGCAGGTGGTGGCTTAACCTGCTGCACCTCAACACTGATCTTCATGAGGTATATTGCAGCCATTGTTCCTGGCCTCCCAGTTTTCCTTTTGTGATAAACAAATACTATCTCAGAATTGTGCAATGTTATGGGTTGTGAGGTGTCAATATGTGTGATGTGACTTGTTAATAATGGGAAGTCTTTCTACTTTCATCAGCTTAAACTTGCCATTTGTTCTCCCTTTGGTTTAAGAAGTTCATTGGAGGGTCGATATTGTGGTGCAGTGGGGAGTGCCACTGCTCACAATGCTGGCATCCCATATGGGTACCAGTTTGAGTCCTGGATGCTCCACTTCCAATCCAGCTCCCTACTAATGTACCTGGGTAAAACAATGAAAGATGACCCAAATGTTTGGGCCCTTGTCACCCACATGGGAGACCCAGATGAAACTCCTGGCTCCTGGCTTCAGCCTGGCTCAACCCTGGCCATGGTGGCCATCTCAGGAGTGAATCAGCAGATGGAAGATCTTTTTCTCCCCACTATCTTTCCTTTCTCTGACTTTCAAATAAACACATCTTTACCAAAAAAGAAAAGAAGTTCATTGCTTGGTTAAAATTCCATTGCATAGAATTTAGCATCCATTGACACAAACACTTCAATCTTTTTTAATATATGAAGTGTATACCCAGTCATCATTTCATTTGCCAATATTCAGAACAGCCTTTTTTAAAAAAATTTTTATTTTATTTAATGAACATAAATTTCCAAAGTACAGCTTATGGATTACAATAGCTCCCCCCTCCATAACTTCCCTGCCACCCATAACACTCTCCTCTCCCATTCCCTCTCCCCTTCCAGAAACACAAAGTGTAAAATACTATTTGAGTACTAGTTATAGCATTAATTAAACACCTAAGAGTAATTGTGTATTTTTTTAATTTCCCTCCCACTCACATCCCTCCCATCTCCCACTCCCTCTCCCATTCCATTCACATCAAGATTCATTTTCAATTATCTTTATATACAGAAGATCAATTTAGTATGTATTAAGTAAAGATTTCATCAGTTTGCACTCACACAGAAACACAAAGTGTAAAATACTGTTTCAGTACTTGTTATAGCATTACTTCACTTTGGACAACACACTAAGGACAGATCCTACATGAGAAGTAAGTACACAGTGACTCCTGTTGTTGACTTAACAATTTGACACTCTTGTTTATGGTGTCAGTAATCTCCCTAGGCTCTAGTCATGAGTTGCCAAGGTTATGGAAGCCTTTTGAGTTCGCCAACTTCGATCTTATTCCAACAGGGATCACAGAGATCTTCCATTTAGGTCTTCTTTTTTTTTTTTTTTCTTTTTTTCCCAGGGTGTCTTGGCTTTCCATGCCTAAAATACTCTCATGGGCTCTTCAGCCATATCCGAATGCCTTAAGGGCTGATTCTGAGGCCAGAGTGCTACTTGGGACATCTGCCATTCTGTGAGTCTGCTGTGTATCCTGCTTCCCATGATGGATCGCAGAACAGCCTTTGAAATCATTAGATGGTTAGTCCCATCCTAGACTTGAGAAAATAGTTTTAATGAGGTCAGAGTCTCATTCATGGTTCCTTAACTGGGATTCATTTTTTATTATTTTTTAAAATTTATTTTTTAAGGAATACAAATTTCATAAGTACAACTTTAGGAATATAGTTATTCTTCTCACCATACCCACCCTCCCACACCTCCTCCTCCTCCGTCTTCCCTTCCCGGTCCCATTTTACATTAAGATTCAATTAACTTTGTACACAGAAGACCAATCCTATATCAAGTAAAGATTTCAACAATTTGCACACACACACACACACACTGAAAACTAGTTTTACAGTTAACTCTCAATACAACTCAATGTGGACAGAGGTCCTGCATGGGGAGTTAATGCACAATGAGTCCTGTTGTTCATTTAACAACTAACACTCTTATGTATGATGTCAGTGACCACCCGAGGCTCTTGACATAAGCTGGCTAGGCTATGGAAGCCTTTTGAGTCCACAAACTCCATCATTAACTGGGATTCTTGACTTGGTAGCCAATACAATATCAATTGGGTCATCACCTTAAGGGAATCTAGAAGTGTTTCTTAGGCAAGTTGACTTATTTAGTGAGTGAAATAATTAAGGCTAAAATGATTCGGGAATTTGCTTACATCATGCAAACCTAGGTTTTCCAGTTTGTTTTGTTTTGTTGTTGCATCTGGCCCAGCAGTAGCTGATACATCTTGAGCTCCCAGTTAATGTGTTTCTGTTTGATTTTGTAGCTGGTGGATTTCAGGGAAGTTGTGTCCAAGATGTTGGGCTTGAATGTGACCAATCTCGCTCTTCCTGACTATGAAATCATCAAATGTCTTGAAAGACTGATCCATTCACATCAGCATCATTTTGTCACCTGTGCCTGCATCAAAGATGTGACTACTGGGCAAGATAGACACCTGCAAAGCCACCTAAAATTTCCTCATTGAACATTGGGTCTCTCAAGTGAGGTGGGGCTAAGAGATGGGACACAATTCCCCATCTCTTTTAAATGTAATCTGTATATGAATCTTGTCTACTTTATTCATATGGTAAGAATGCATCATTGACCAAAGCATCTCAAACGTGCCAGCCTTAGATAATTGTGTAGCACTAAAACCACCTATTATTTTATTTGCTAGCACTTTGGGACTGAGAAGAATTCCACCAGGTTGCACATCTAGACTTGGAAATGGGAGTAGGGGATTAACATGTCCAGGGTGTTTGCTTATGAGTCAGGCTCTTTACCAGCTAATTTAATGCTCACAATGACTATGTGGAAAAGCTTTAATGGTTTTATTTTGCAATCTCTCTGGGGCTCAAAGACGATGTTGAGTTCAGTTGGCTCTGCATCAAAGGCCCTGCTTCTCCTGCTGCTCCACAGCCTCAGCTTCTCCTGCATAAGGAAGAAACCATCCCTGTGGTCATGAACTTAAGTCCCAAGTGACAGATCTTTGAGTGTAACCTACTCAGCCTTTCTAAAAGGCAATACACCTAATTTACCTGGATAAAACTTAGATAGGTATGAAGTCAAGGAAGAAAGCTAACCTGTTTTAAATGTTGCTACCAGATGACACCTGGTGGTAATTTCCTGTTTGTTTGCTTGAGAGGCAGAGAGACTGAGAGGGAGAGACAGAGAGAGACAGACAGGGTTCCCTTCCTAAATGCCTGCAGTGGCTGGGGCTGGTTCAGACTAAAGCTTAGAGCTGGTAGGTGGCAGGAGTGACTACTTAGGCCATCACTGCTGCCTTCCATGATCTGCATTAGTAGGTAGCTGAAGTCAGTAGTGGAGCCAGGGATTGAGCCCAGGTTCTCCTGTATGGGATGTAAGCATCCTAACCTGTGTCTTAAATGCTAAGCCTAACCCCTCCTCCAGGCTGGTAATTCTTAGTGTTTAAGCAGGGCTGATCCCAGTACTTTGATCATGAAGTTTTTAATGTGAATCCAACATTAAAGAAGGAAAATATCCATATAATTGTGAATTATATGATGTAGTTATAGATTTAGGAGTGTAACCTATAGAATTTCTTTAAAAGGTAATACACCTAGTTGGTTTATTTACTAATATATCAAGTGCATCCACAGCAAAAGTTCTTCTTCAGGCTAAGGGCTTTATTATTAATTTTGTTCACCCTGCCTTCTTTTAAAATTTCTGTTTCTATGAATGTCCAGGAAGACATATTTTTAACTTGACCGAGAAACACATGTTACTCTTTTGGACAATTTATCTTATTTCTACCATATGAAATGTATTTTTTTGACAGGCAGAGTGGACAGTGAGAGAGAGACAGAGAGAAAGGTCTTCCCTCCGTTGGTTCACCCTCCAGTGGCCGCCGCGGCCAGCACGCTGTGGCCAGCGCACTGTGCTGATCCGAAGACAGGAGCCAGGTGCTTCTCCTGGTCTCCCATGGGGTGCAGGGCCCAAGCACTTGGGCCATCCTCCACTGCCTTCCTGGGCCACAGCAGAGAGCTGGCCTGGAAGAGGGGCAACCGGGACAGAATCCGGCGCCCCGACAGGGACTAGAACCCGGTGTGCCGGCGCCGCTAGGTGGAGGATTAGCCTATTGAGCCGCGGCGCTGGCCTGAAATGTATTTTTTTAATCATCATTGAAAAAACACTAGTGTCTAATTAAAGGAAACAGAAAAAAAAATAGGTTCAGTGCACTCAAACATTAAGAGAAAATTAAAACTATACAAGTAGTTCATGAGTTTCCAAAGTTGATGTCATGTATAAAGCACGGACTTCTAAACCAAGGAGATGAAGAAGATATAATGCTGGCGCTGTGGCGTAGTGGGTGAAGCTGCCGCCTGCAATGCCGGCAACCCACATGGGTGCCAGTTCGAGTCTCAGCTGCTCCACTTCCGATCCAGCTCTCTGCTGTGGCCTGGGAAAGCTGTGGAAGATGGCCCAAGTCCTTGGGCCCTTGCACCCATGTGGGAGACCTGAAAGAACCTCCTGGCTCCTGGCTTTGGATCTGTGCAGCTCTGGCCATTGCAGACAATTGGGGAGTGAACCAGTAGATTGAAGACCTCTCTCCCTCTCTCTCTGTGTCTCCTTCTCTCTCTGTGTAACTCTGACTTTCAAAATAAACAAATCTTAAAAAAACAAAACATTATGATCAATTGCAAGGGCTAAAACTTGATTGGATCCTGTTGTGCGTAAAAAAACATTAAAATATTCTTTCAACAATTTGGTAAACTTGAATATAGACTTGATACTAGATGACATTTTTATATTTTAATTTTGTAAGCTTAATAAATGCACTACTGTTGTTTGTCTTAATCAAAAATAATCAAAATAATCAATAATCAAAAATAATAATAAACAAAAATCGAAGAATTCATAGTACTACACAAAATAAGTGAGATGGTGGGGAATGAAGATCTTCTTTTAAAAAAATTACTCTCTATGAACTCAAGAGGCTTCCATAGCCATGGCAGCTCATGATAAGAGCCTTGGGTGATTACTGACGTCATAAATGAGAGTGTAAATTGTAAAATCAACAATAGGAGTCACTGTGCACTTACTCCCCATGGAGGATCTCTGTCCTTAATGTGTTGTACTATGCGAATTAACGGTATAACTAGTACTCAAATAGTACTTAACACTTTGTGTTTCTGTGTGGGTGTGAACTGTTGAAATCTTTACTTAGTATATACTAAGTTGATCTTCTGTATATAAAGATAATTGAAAATGAATCTTGATGTGAATGGGATGGGAGAGGGAGTGGGAGATGGGATGGTTGCAGGTGGGAGGGAGGTTATGGGGGAAAAAGCCACTATAATTCAAAAATTGTACTTTGGAAATTTATATTTATTAAATAAAAGTTAAAAAAAATTACTCTCTAATGAATGCAGAATGGATGGTGAAAAACGGAGAAAATGACAAATGCAGAAGAAAACTAAGGAGCTCAGCATGTGTAGGGTGGATGCAGCAGACCCCACAGAGGGTGTGGCTGTGCTCTGTCCAGTGTTCTCCTTCATGTGCAATGACAGGATAAGTAGTGTTTGCAAGTGCATAAATACACCTGTGCAGCCCAACTGAGGACAGCACCCAGAGCAGCCAGAGGCCAGAGAGGCAGCATCGAGTTTTCTCAGAGGGGGGCCTGCAGTCTCTGGAGGGCCCCTCCCATTCTCCAAGGATTGGTGGCTACTGCTGTACGCCCACCCCCACTCGAGTGGAGGAAGTGACATCGCTGGCTCTCTCTAGCGTATACCCGTTGGTGCAGCTGTGGGTCTGTGTGTGTGTGGGGGGGGGGGAGAGGGGATTGTTTTTGTAATTCTGTTTGGATTTTTCAAATACAATCTTTAATGAATTTGGTGTACTTTCTGTGTAACTTTATTTTCTATTTATTTATTTATTTTACTTATTTGACAGGCAGAGTTAGACAGTGTGAGAGAGAGACAGAGAGAAAGGTCTTCCTTCTGTTGGTTCACCCCCCAAATGGCTGCCACAGCAGGCGCTGCGCCGATCCAAAGCCAGGAGCCAAGTGCTTCCTCCTGGTCTCCCACACGGGGGCAGGCGCCCAATCACTTGGGCCATCCTCCACTGCCTTCCCCGTCCACAGCAGAGAGCTGGACTGGAAGAGGAGCAACCGGGACTAGAACCCAGCGCCCATATAGGACTCCAGTGCCGCAGGCGGAGGATTAACCAAGTGAGCCATGGCGCTGGCCCTAAATTTATTTTCTACACTGGCCAAAGATATGATTTAAAAAACAGAAATGAGTTATATTACTTTTCTAATTTTGACTTTAATTCTGCATCAGGATTCATATAGCAAAATAAAAATAGTACCCAGTGGATAGTACCGTGTCTTCTCCACTGCATGAAGTTTCATTGTTTGTCCACATTTATATATACTATTTCTACTGTGTGACTCAAGTGTACACACAATCATCTTTCATACATATGGAGGTGGTAAAAATGCTTGAGTATAATCCTTGGGGACTTCTAGTAGAAAGGGCACATGGGATAAGACAAATTCTGTACATGTATTAGTCCATATACACATCAACTTCTTGTCGTTTGGATAAATTGAGTGTCCTCTAATAAAGTCATTTCCTTCCTTGTTAAAATGCCAGTGGGTTGTCAGCTTCCCCTCATAGCACTTATTCTGAAGTTGGCTGGCCAGTCTCTGATTTTTATGTCAGATTTTATCCTCCAGCAATTTTCATGTATAATTTATATTGTCTAATAAAATATAATGTGCTTTATATAAGGGCAAGAGGTTAGATAAGATTTAAAATATTTAATACTCTTCTACAAAATACACTTGGGCGATAACGGCTATTCAGGTGGTTATTCCGGACACTGTCTGAGCTGTCAGATGTTTAAGACATCTCAATTAGGAGAAGTTTTTAACCTGATCTGATTGTCTATTTTACACATGAAGAGCAAGTGATTTAAGATCACTGGGTGGTAGGCTGATGACCATTAAGGAAGTCTGTATAACTGATACTGTCATCATTCTAAGGACCTGCAGGTAGAGTCCATTTTCACTAGGGGAGTGATCATGCTCATCTAACCTTGGAGTTGGAGGCCCCTCCCAGGTCATATGACTGCTCTCACCAACACTATGGTACACACTCCTTGGTCTTTTGAGGATCCTGGCAAATGTCAAATAACATTGCAGTTACCCACTAACATCCTGTCTATTCTTACTTAAACTTCTGTGAATAGTTCCCTGGTGTCCTCTCCGCCCCTATTGGATCCTGCCTTCATCCTAGACGGCTTTAGTGCCTGTAAGGCAATCCAGGCAGCATCTCATCCTTAGGTCCTGGGTCTTCAAAGCTCTCATACATTTACCTGCTTTTGGTTCAGCCATTCATACCCTACTGTGTAGAAATCCAGTTTAGATTCCTGTGAGCCAAAAGAAGAATTTGGGAGCTCATTTGAAAGATTCAGAGACAGACTAGCTTCTGCTGGGCTAGATCCATCCCATGGATTCAAAATTGTTGTCTGGATTCTTTTTTCCTCCCATCTGTGTCCCATCTCTATTCAGTTTTGCTTGTCTTTGCTTGTTGGCATTACCTTTTGCTTCTGCAGGTGGATTCCTCCCTGTTACCAGGTAAGAGAGGTAGAAGCAGCTATACAGTCTTTGTAACTCATAAGCAGAAAATCTCTCTGTTCCCCAAGCATCTATGCACAGAACCTCAGAGAAGAGCCCGATGAGTTTTTGTTCATGTGCCATGTGCTCATCCTTGAACACAGCACTGTAACCAGGGGATGAACTTATCAGCCAGCATCTCCTGCCAACACCTGCAGAGAGGTTGGGAAGAGTGAGACTCAGGACCATATATAATGATGGAGGGAAGATCTCCAAAGACACACACACACACACACACACGCACATGCACACACACACATATACACACACACACGGCCAAACTCCGACCTTCTGATCATCTGGGACTCCTCCAGGTCTGAAGTCTCCAATGGAAATTGTTGCAGTCTCTTAGCATCCCAGACTTTTACCTTTTAGTCCTAAATAGCTGTTCTTTAAGCCCTTGAGTTTTCCTTGATCCTCCCATTTTCTCTCTCCTAGCCTTGCCAATCTTCACTCCTGCAAGCAGCCTAGATATTATGGTTTATTTCTTCAACCATTCTCTTCTGAACACCCTAAACTTCTTGTTCCCTTTATCTTCTATCTTCAACTTTGAATTAATCCCAACTACCAATGTTTCTGCTGCTTTTCTGCCTCACCGAAAGGGGCCGGAGAAAATCACATAAAATCAGAGCTAAGTGGCATCCCGAATTCATGACCTTTGATCTCAGTAGAGTCCTCTGCACTAACTGGTAATCCTGCACTGTTTTCCCAGTTAGACCTCACTGCTATTTTTCAAAATGACTATTGTAAATATTCTTCTCTCTCTCAAGGCTTTTCTCCTGTCTCTTCCTCTTTACTCTCAGCAGGTAATCTTGTCTCTGATTTCACTCAGCAAATAGAAGCCATTACAGGAAACACCTCCAATACCACATCCTAATTTAGCCTTATATTGGTCCACTCCCATCCTTACCTCTTTTTGTCTTCTTGTCTCAGGTTATTTCCATTATGTGGGCACTTGCATCCTTAGCAACTTGGTCCCATCCATTGTTTTATTCTACTCTCTCAAATGTCTTCAACTTCTCCTGCATTAGTGGCTTATTTCTGTCAGTATTTAAATCTGTTAAAGTCTCTCTCCTGTTTAAAAAAATTCACTCCCTCCATTCCACAGCAACTTCTCCATAGAGCTTTATCTCCCTACTCTACTTTACAGCTGGGCCTTTGACAGTGGCATTTATATTGCTATCTTTCTGGTCTCACTTCCCATTTATGCTTTGGCAACCCAGGTCTCTCTCATTCTTCTAACTCACATTTTCGTTAGCAAATTGCTGTTACCATTAAAGTACTTATTTTACTTAATCTTTCTGTAACAATGATACAGGCAAGCATTTCCTTCTTGAAATATTCTCTTTCAATAGCTACTATGGTGTGACATTCCACTTGTTTTTCTCCTCTCTGGGAGTTTGATTTAAGTAATTTAAAGATTATAGGAAACAAAAACGAATGAACAATGGGTTTATGTTAAGGACAAGAGTGTGGGTAGGAATCTTTTTTAAAAAAATTATTAGAGGAGAAAGAGAGAAGGACAGACAGAACTCCCATCTGTTCGTTCACTCCCCAAATGTGCACAATGGCTGGGGCCAGGCAGGGCCAAAACAGTGAGGTGGGAACTCATTGCATTGTTCCTCACACGTGAACAGCAGAGATCCAACTACTTCAGGCACTGTCCGCTATTTCTCAGGATCTGCATTGGCAGGAAGCTGGAATTGGGAACTAGAGCTGTGATCAAACCCAGACACTATGATATGGGATCTGAGTGTCTTAATCACTAGGCCAGATGCGCTCCCTCAGGATGGGGATCTTGACCTTATGGTCAGGACTCAGTGGAGAACAATCACACATTCCAGGAACTAGAAGGCAGTGATGGTATTTCTGGTCCAGTTCATCATGGTCTCACACTGGGGTCATGTGCCTGTGTCTTGAATGTGAACATTTCCTGGGCATGTGTCCTGGTCCTCTTTTCCTACACTTTATGTAATATTGTTGAGTGCATTAGCCTTGGGATATCAGGCAAGTTAATTGTCTGATGCCTCAGTTCCCTCATCTGTAAGATAGAGATAATATGTACCTTGTTAGGCTTTGGATTATATCCCCCTCCCAATATAAAGATGTTGAGGTCTTAATGCTATGTACCTTTGAATATAAGCTTATTTGGAAATAAGATCTTGACAGATGATCAAGTGAGGAGGAATTCAATAGGATTAGCCCTAAGCCAATGTAACTGGTGTTTTTATAAAAGAGGGAAATTTAGGTAGAGAGACACAGGTGCAGGGAAAATGTCATGCAACAATAAAAGAAATAATGGGGATGAATCTACAAAATGAAGAAATGCCAGAGATTACCAGTAAAATGCTAGAAGCCAGGAAAGAACCATCTGCACAGTCCTCAGAAGGAACCAACCCTGCAGACACCTTGACGTCTTGAGTTATTATCTTCACAACTGAGACAATGCATTTCTATTGTTCAGTAATAGAAGGCCTAGAGAGCCAATACACTGCCTTGTAAACTTTATTTTTTATTTTTTTTGACAGGCGGAGTGGACAGTGAGAGAGCAAAACAGAGAGAAAGGTTTTCCTTTGCTGTTGGTTCACCCCCCAATGGCCGCTGCGGCCGGCATGCTGTGGCTGGCGCACCGCGCTGATCCGATGGCAGAAGCCAGGTACTTATCCTGGTCTCCCATGGGGTGCAGGGCCCAAGTACTTGGGCCATCCTCCAACGCACTTCCCTGGCCACACCTTGTAAACTTTTAAGAATTAAATAATGTAAAACAGAATATGTCCTGGCATGTAGGGGGTACTTAGTGCACATCAAGTAAACTGTTGTCAACATTATTAACCAGTTCCACAGAATCTGGTGGCTTTAATGACCATCTATGTGATCATGAAGCCAAACTTTATTTCTGTGATCACATCTCTGCCATGATCTTCTCATCCATATGTAGAGTAGGTTGGTGTGGAGGAAATGCTAGGCGGAATAAGCACAACAGACTTGGATTCGAAGACAGGCTCTAGACCTCAGGACTATGCAGGAATAACAAGAGTACTTTCTTCATAAGGTCCTTGTAGGGGTTCAATGAGTTGAAGCAATTAAGAATATGAATTTATTTGGGGGCAAAAATAATTTTGAAATCTATGTATAACTTTAATAATTAGCATATTCATATGTCCTGGTAAAATTTTTTTTTTGCACCCAAACATGTCTTTGCACCAAAATGAGCTCATACTTTTAGTTTCATCTTATGTAAACTTTTTGAGGTACACTGGTGTAAGGTGCATCACTGAGAACCTGTA